CAACAAACAACACCTTTACAGATCCCTGCTAGCAGGGTGAGCCCCAAATCATAAGGACTCTGTTCAACGCTGCCCTGGCTGCAGATTGATGATAGAAATGAAATTTAAAGTTAGATGTAATGCTCCTTGTTAAGTACTTTCTAATAATTTTAATTGTGAAATGAAATTGAGAGATTTGCATTTATGCTTTTCTTTTTTATTGAGCATTGTGTGACTGTGCAGAAGTTACAGTTCTCTCTCGATGCAAGATGAAAACCTGAATCTTTTCTTGTCTGAAATTAATGAAAGCTGAAAACAGGATTTACCCATATCCTTGGATTACAACACAAGCAGGATTCAAAAACTTGCTCTACAACTATGACCGACTGACTCAATGAACTTGAAACATCCCATTAAAAAAACCATCCCAGAACGAGAGGTTCCCAGGAGCATGACAAACTGATGGCTAAAGTAATGTGTGGGTTGGACAAAGCACTATCAAGGAAACGCCTTGATCTTGAACTGTGGCTGCCAGATCACAGAGCAGTCTTGAGGGAGGACATCAGGTTCTCATCCGATTGCTGCTTTTAGTAAATGGTCCCAGAATATCCCATTACAGAGAGAGCATGCACACAGCTACCACAGGCATTAGCTGACTGTTCAACTATGCAACATATAAAAATCAAATGACAAAGCAGATGATTAAAGAGAAACAATCAAAAAGAAATTAAAGCTGACTGGTATCTTAACCTACATCAAACTGCCTTGTGTTTTGACCTGCTAGGTAGGGATGCTGGAAGTAAATTAAGACTAAAATTTTAACCCTGCTCTTCTTATCTAACCTCAACATTAAACACCATTCCATGTTGTCATTGCAGCAGTTGCATTTGGCATGAATTTTGGCCACTCTCGCTTTTCCGAAATCTTATTCCCTGTTAAAATCCAAGAGAAGTTTACAAGGAGGTTACGCAGTTCAATTTAAGGCATGTTTGGGGGGTCTGTAGTTAGCACAGTTCACAGCATAGATGGGGCCAATTTAAACCTGTATTATTTTGGTAAACATATTAGGAAGAACAAAAGGGTTAAAAAAATATTTAAATTTGCCAGACTATGGAGCTGCACAATAGCCAAAAGCTATGGAAACAGAAGATCACAGAAAAGACACTCTGAGAATATAAAAGTTGGCAAGAAAATATTAAATTTCAGCTCTACTAAATAAAATATCTTCAAAAGCTTTTTTGTTTTAAAGACATTGCTGAGATCATAATCAATCAGTCTGGCTACTTAGACACACAACGCCCCATCAGAGGATTTAGCAAAAATGAAGTACTAAATTATTCAGCATTTAAGCAATCATGTAAGGAATATGTAGCTGAAAAGGACAAACTGCAGAATAAGATTATTTTTCTGTTAACTCAGTATATACTGTAGAATTAACAGGGCCTTCCAGGGAGATTATCTAAACATTTGTTCCCTGCACAGAATTGAGATCCCAGCTTTTATTCTAGTATTTTTTTACGTGCAACAGAAAAACATGATCTCCATCTCTAAACTTTTTAAATTAACATTTTTACTGTCTTTACAGCTGTTTTCTTCTTTTCAGCTAGGCTGGGTTTTTTTTGTTGTGCTTTTTGTTGTTTTTTTTTTTTTTTTAAACTGCCCTGCTCTGTAACAAATCTGTATACTGTTAAACTTATAAAGAAGTATTAGGAAAGCCTCATGTTTGGATACATGTACTACACACATACAGTACATGCATATGTCCAAGGAATCAAGAGATAACCCTGTTCAAACAAACACTATATATTCTCAGAAATACAATTTTAAATTAATAAGCTTTAAAATTTCAGTTTCCTCAAAAAGTTTTTTGAGCTGTAACATACACAAACTAGATGAGGTTTATGTTCTCCATGAAAAGGTTTGATGAATTTTAGGTATGCTTTGATACATCACCTCTAATCTTCTGGAAGATTCTCCCTTTTTAAGTCTTTCTCAAGATTCATTATCAACATTTGAGATGTCTTACAAAACATGAATATAAGCCTATTAGTCCTCGAGATTGTATAATAGCAGTTAATAGTCAAAACAACAATGACAGAGTGGGCATAATTTCACACGTTTCATATAGAGCTCTAAGAATAAAAATCACATATCAAGCTGTTAAAACACAGGCAGGAGCCTGTAACACTGGAATTCATACAGAACTGATGCTGTAAAAAATTATGTGGACATCCGACAAAATGGAAATTGCTGTTTGCCAATGTATGCATCTCAAGGTCACAGTATTAAATAGCAAACTAACCCGTTAAGGTGATAAATTTTGTCTTAAATCCCTGTCTCTCTTATTCTGGCATTGAATTTCCTTCTGGCAGCTGCACTAAAATACGGTTTACTGACTCATGACAGATGACCAGCACACGTTTCAAGTCTTTGATCACTGGTATAGATTCTTACTTATCTTTCAAATGTTTGTTGCAAATTTCTGAACAGGAGGAGGAGAACTCAAATCTAGGCCAAACAATAATCATTAAAACAACAAGACATCAACTCCACCTAATTTAATATTAGGACTTGTTTTTAAAGAGAACACTTTTTGAAATGTCATACCAAGCATGTTTTTTGGTTGTAGGCCACATAGCAAGCAGGAATTCTGTACTGAATAAAACTACAGTAGATGTTAATATCCATTCAGATCTATTTTCACGAGCTGATCGCACAGTATGTCGAACAGAATTTGAGGTGTTTTGCAGAGTTTAAAAACAGACAAAAGTCGAAAATCATTGTCCATTTCCACTCTCCAATTGTGACAAAGAGCTTTCAGAGTTCTAAACTTTTTTTTTCCCCATCTCATTAAAATGTCAGAAAGCAAGATATAATTCTGACAGATTCAACCCATATACATCTCCTTAAGTGGACAATTCTCTGTTACTTTTGGAACAGTTTTTAAAATAAGTCAAACTTGTCAAAATAAATACCTACAACACACACATTAAGTTTATCTTTCTGTTTGTTTTCACTGCTTTTCTAAGTATGTTAAAAAATGTTGGGAGACCCATATGTTTGTAAAGTCAACTCGACCATTCTGCAGTAAAACTGATTTACAGAAAGTGCACTACAAAATAACTGTTAACACCCAGACCTTACCATGCTGAATTACTGACTTATATGCAACCTTAATTTTTATCTTGCTCAACTTTTGAGCAGTTTTAGATTCTGACATGCATCTCCTTCAGAACTCAGAAAACAAAACCCAAAGCCTAGCAGAAAGGGAAGGACCACACCCATGGCACCTGAGCTGACCACCTCTCTGGTGGGATAGCGGCAGGACTGGAACTCTGGCTTACTGCACAGACCCAAGACCTCAGCCTGGAGGGAACTATCAGAAAAACAGGCTGCCATGCCACCCTTTGAGGGCTGACACATTTTGCCAGAGGATTTTTGCTATTTCCCCTTAGAAGGAATGGTGAGAATCTTCAGATCTATCCCAGACTGGAAATGTTTAACAGCAGCTATTTTCACTGCTTCCATATTTAAACTCAGTCCTGTTCCCTCTTGTCTGCTGCCTTTGCCTACTCCGATTCCCATTCCAGGTCAAGGTCTCCACTGCCCCATTTTACTTAAGGAAACATCCTATGCTCTATTTCGTTAAAGGCTCTCTACAGCTTATGTCTCCTTCTCCAGCCAGTTATAGTTTTCTCTATGCTGCAAAGAGAAGGTCCCTAGGTCTAGTCACGGCTTTCTGTGACATTAGCATCAGTCTTCACAGAATCACACCAGGCTCTTGATTGAGCCTACTCACCTTCAGCCAGACTGTTTTCTATTGTATCTCCTCTGCAATCAAACTGGACAGCTGCTCCTTGCCTGAAGACCTGTAAGGGGCCATTCAATTCAAGTAAGAAAAAAAATTTACTACACTCAGCTTTTACTCCTGAAGACACCTTGCTTTCAAAGAGCTGTTACAGGGAATATTGATGGGCTACAACTGATGGGACCAGCTCACTTGCTCAGCACAACTAGGACACGGACAGTATCATGAATGCTAGATGGAGTACGGAGAAGTAACATGCAGTGGAAGTTAACTACTTAAAAGAAACTACGAACAAGTCTTCAGAACCTATACAGGAATTGCTAGTAATCTATCTGAATTATAGGCCTGAGAAAGTCACAGCTTCTGTCTTGATGTTTTAAAACTGACATGTTTTAGATCACAGTGGAGGTTTTTAAGTCTGGCAACATAATAAACAACTTGACACTGAGTCTTTCAACAGGAGAAAGCAGAGAACCATAACAATTTCCCTGCTCAATACAAATATAAATACAAGTAAATATCTGACTCTTTTTTTGCCAGTTGTTATAGGTGAATTCAAGTCCAGAAACATTAAGCAGTTGGTTCTCCTCAAAAGATATTTTGCAAAGTAGTAACCCTAATACAAAGCACACCTTGGCACGTATTACAATGAGAAAGTGTTGACATACATTCACACTTGTACCAGTAAAGACACACATTTGTCTTACTGCAAACTCCTTGCTCTCACTGAGAAGTACTTACTCTCGCAGACAATCCCACAGAAATCAATGCTTCCTTTCTTGAGATGTCACATAAAACTACTCAGGTTTTAAGTGCTGTGAATGGGATTTGCAATCTGTTCTAGTGTAAGTAGAGGACTGTCTGTGTTTATGAAGCAAATGACAGAAAACAAAATGAGAATGACATCTCCTTTAAAGTAACTGCAGACAATATTTTGAAATTCTAAGGCAACAACATTGGACCAGTGTATGAAATACTGCTGTTTCCAAGTTAATGTACTGCTTTCTCCTGTGAAGCAGAAATACTGATAGTTTTTTGTCTTTTTTTTTTTTTAATTCAGTAAGAGGTAGGAATATGAAATGCCAATAATGACACTAGATAACTCATGTACTCAATCTCTGCATTCAGTGAAACCCTTAAGCAGACACAATGTCCTGAGTCATACACTCTGTTTAAGAAGATCTGGCAATATTAATGTATAAATACACATGTACATTTTTGCAGACTTGCAATTTAATATATTTTTGTAATTCACTACAAAAATGTGGTTTCACAACTGCTCCCATGCACTGGGACTCCTACAGTAGTATGGAGAATGTACAGATGTCTTTCCCAGAACTGGCAATACTGTGCATTGTGCAAATTGTCTCCAATCCTTTTTGAGCAGCAGTTAGAAGAAAATTTGTGGGTTGAATATTGATATCAAAATACAGATTTAAATAATTTACTCTTAAAAACATTCGTATTTATAGCCTCTTACAGAAAATAAACAATTAATCTGATTATCAGACATGTCCTCAGTTTTTCCAGTTCCAAGGTATACACAGGTCTCCATCCTGCAGCACAGAGTAGAAATGCGAAATGCAAAGGTGCATGCCTTGTAGGTATGGCAACGATTCTTCTAGCAGTCGCTTACAACAATCTATCATCTGTGCACTGGAAACACTGGGTTCCTTATACAGCCGATCCAAAGAAAATTTTTCAGTGGAAGTATCGATTAGCTCTTTTTCTGTAATCATCATCCTAGCAAATGAAGACAACATACAGTGACAAAATTAGAATGTCAGCTCTTAAAAAAAACCCTTGAAATAAGTAAATTTGTAGATTATATGCATGTAAACAAAAGTGTCACTTCATGTACAGCTATGGTACAGCTGACATTTTTGTGCAGGTTGATACCCATGTCTACACCTCAGAGGCTAGACTGAACATGCTTCCATGACTATGGGTAACAGCATGCTTACACAGAATCACATTTGAAAGCCATGACTTTTTTTGCTCACAACGTAATGGGGAAAAATACCAAAATAAAAATCATATGAGGCTCCATTTTTAATGAAGTACTTAAAAAGCCCTGGAAATGTAAGCTTTAAGAATAAAATCATGTTAGTAACTACTCTTTTTAAATAAGACCAGTACTCTGCATGTCATCAGAGACAACAGATGACAGGTTACAGCCACCTGATGCATATTAAATGTGTTAATAACTTACTAATTGCAAGAAGTATATGAAATATTAAATTCATAGCTCGCAGATTATTTTTTCCATTCCTCCCAAACAAAGCATGGCAAGACAATGCATGGGAAACTCAAGTTACTCAGAAATTAAGTTAACGTGCAGAATTAAGAGTCACTGGAACTGTGGATCATCTGATGCAGACAGGTTCAGGTAGCTCAGGCACTGTGCCACATTAATGTAGCTATACTTCCAGAGCCAGCTTGGTTACAGAAACAGCACCATCGCTGTCCTACAATACAGACCCTGTGCTGAACAGGGGAGGAGCTACAAAGCAGCAGGACATCTGCAGAGCCACTGGAATGTGAATCAGCCCAAGATAAGCACAGACACAGCTACTGAGAGTATCTGACTCGTGTGAAAACACTATTGTAGGGTCTGGCCACCACTCTTTCCAGAGCTCAGTATGGGATCTCCATGTACCTGCAAGGCACTACACTGTGCTGGGGCACTCAGACCGCTCTGCAAGAGCCCAGCCCAGCTCTGGCAGTCAGGGCTGAAGTGAGCCAGTGAGTTAAACCTGGAACAAGTCTGCCATCTCTACTGACCCTATCTTATTGACATCACCCTCCAGAGCACATTCCCTATTAACTGAGTGCCAGCCCTCCTGTTCAGTGAAAACTCAAGCTCCCTTGAAGGATGTAGTTAGCTGCACATAGTGAGAACTGCACGTTTTAGATCACTTCCACAAGGAGGCTTTACACCTCTATCACAATACATAACTGATACTTCACAAAAGTAAGGGAGGGAGAAGTAAATACATACTAAATCCTGCATTACTAGAAGGCTGACAGATAAGACAATTTTCTAAAGCGGCAGCATTTGAACTCCCCAGGGCATCAGGTCATAGAGAATTCCAGCTACACTATGCTATTTACTGCATGTAGAATGCTCATCTGCACGTGCAAAGTAAATTCAGTACATCTCAAAATATTTTCGTCTCAGGGTCTCTTTAACAACCACAGAACGCTAAGGGAAATCAGGAGGTACAGAACAGGTTGTGTTCAAGGAAGCATTATGTGGAAAAGGAGTTTTCAGTTCAATAAAAAGACAACCAAGGGGAAATATGACTACCCGCAAAAAAAAAAAAAAAAAAAAAAAGGTGGTAAATTCAGAATGATTGTTTTGTATTTCCTACAGCACAAGAACAAGAGAATGACAGATGAAATCACCAGGCTGTGGGTCTAGAAAACAAAGAACACCTCTTCTCTCCTTCATATATACATATGCTATATGTAATTCAACTCTGCAGTTTGTTGCCATGGGATATTTTGGAGCCACAAAGTGTAAGTTGGCTCAAAAATAACTGGACAATTAAGGGGGAAAAAATAAGATCTACTGAATGCTCTTAATGTGAGATAATGTTTCCAACGTCAGGTATTTTCTCAAGTGCAGTCAGCCAGAAACTGGGAAGGAATATAGAGTAAAAAACCCCATTGTCTTTTCTGCCCCATTCATACAGCCTTCCTGTAAGCAAATAGATGATGGGGACAGACCTTTGATACAATCCAGTATAGCTGCTCTTTACTATTTTATACAAACCAGCAATCATCCAACACACAACAGAAGAGCTGAGATATTTAGCTTGGCTTTTACATTCTTACAACACAGCTGCTTCTACTCTGAGGGGAGCCCCACATTTTTCCTGCATTAGTGTCTTTATAATGTGGGGTAGTGTGAGATTTTTTGGAGAGTCAGTCACCCAAATGCAAATGCATACATTGGCTACAACCTCCCTCCCAACCTCTACAGACAATACTTTTTCAGCTGTCACAGATGGACAGCTACATAGAAAGCTATTCAGCAGTTGTAATTTGTACGGCAAAATAATCTAACTTCAAAGCTGGAGTAGGGTTATAGAAAAATTCCAAACAAACCTCCATGTTTTACCAAAGTCCATCTCCAAAACATATCCGCTCAAGTAATCAGGTCTTAAGAGAGCTAAAAATAAAGCCTTCAGTGAGACTCATGCCTAAAATAACCTTCATTAAAAAATATCTAGATCTATACATCACTTATATACACTGATGACAGTGCGATATTTCAACAATTCATTAAAAGCTTTCCAAAGCAGAAAAATAAACTTGCAGTAACAACATCTAAAAGGACAGCAACACCCTATCACAGTATTTTATGCAAAATAAAACCAGTACCTTTACTTCATGTTCTTAATACCCTGTCACAACGTAAGTAACATTAATAGAAGTTAGGGTTTTCTCTCATTCAATAAAATGGTCTCTTTTTAAATAAAACCCCACCTCTCCTTTTGGGAAATAAGTGTAAAAAAATAATGTAATTTTGTCTTGTAAGCAAAAAATCTTTTATTTCTGAATAAAGTACACCTGTTACTACAAGGTGAAAGATGGGTATTTTCTAACAACTGTGTTCACTGAATGCTGAAATTTTTAACTTTTAAGATGATGGGTAAAGTTCTATTTTATAAACGGAAGTTTTTTCCACCAAAACCCCATGAATACATTCTTCAAAGTTCTCCTCCTCCTCCAAATAAAACATATGACATGCAAAGATTTTCAGAAGCTAAATGTATCGAGTCACATGAACACTTACTCCTCCTTTCTTTTCAGATTCTCCCTTGCTTGCTGTGCTTTGGCAAAAATAAACCATTGAAGGGTTGTTGGATCACAGACCGTTGGGATCATAAAGTGTCCAAATTCATGTAAGCTTGGTGCATATCTGTCACTAATGAAACATGATGGAAGTAAAAAACAAGGTATCTTTTTTTTTTAAATGCAACTATTTACATTAATTACTTTCACAATGAATTCTGAACATAAAAGGAGTATCAATTAATTACAATCAGAATAATTGGTAAAAAATCAAGTTTGGTTCATAGGAATACAAAAGCATCATACATAAAGCTTTTTTAAAATTACATTTTAAAAACAACTGTCAACAATACTCAAAAAAATATAAACAGCATCATCATCATACACAGCTGAGTGTTGACCTGACAGAATAAAACCTTTGATTTAACCCAGCACAACACTGTAGGATAAGGACATAACTTGCATGAAATAATCAGGATTTTCTTCAATCTGATTCCTTCTTAACTCATAAAAAGGCACTTAAAAGCTCTAGAGACAAAAACACTAACATAATGTGAGTCCAAGACAGTATTAGTTTTCTTCTTGGTGAAAGCAATGATCAGTGTAACAAGAAAAAAAAGAATGAGTACAAGCTCTAAAAGGAAGAAACCTTTCCTGAAAATACCTACCTTTCCAAAACCATTTGCAAGCCTCGCAAACTGCGAGGATGAAAAGGTAGTCTACTGTCACGTAATTTATTATAGAAAGAGTCCAGAGTCTCGTAGTACTCTTCTAGAGTCAAGAGTGGTTGCAGTTCTTCAATATATATTACTTGTATGCCTCCCAGAAGTTGGCTTATCCGATCTTCCAAGAACAGTAGCCTTTTTTGAAGTTTATAATAATTTGGCAATCTCTCAAAAATCTGTGCACACACACAAACATTTCCTATGTTATGAAGCATAAAACATGAAAAAAATAACAAACTGTAAAAGAAGATACATGTAACAATGCAAACATGGAACCAAATGGAAAAAAAAAATAATGAAAGAATACAAAAAATAAGAAATATCAAGTATATATATTTTGGGGCAAGACATAATGGAATAAGCTCATAAGTATTTTCAGTATTTATGCTATATAGGCACCAAAAGACTGTAGCAAGACTGAAGGATGTCCTCTTTTTATTTTTTTTAATATATATATATATATATATATATATATATATACACACACACACACAGAAATTAATAGTCTGTATATAGAGGAAAAAAATATAATCTGAGGTTTACATAAAATATTTATCCCCATAGTTATAGTGGTAGAGCTATTCCACATACAGTTAAAAGGGGTTTTGCCAGCCTAATTTATACTAATTCTCAAAAAAGAGAAGTCTCTGTTGCTGGAACTCTTTCTTTCCAAAGGTTTTGATGGTAACATAGCTCATCTTGAGTCTGAAGGGAGGAGAAAGGAGGAAGGTAGCAGAGCTCTGATTTACAAAAACTATATCAGAAAAGGTTAAGAAGTGATCAGACTTGTGAGCTGAGACACAGAAGGTGTGATAGGGAGAAGGCTGGAACAAGGCAACAAGTGAAAGAGTAAAGTCTTTAGTAATAGTCGCTACTTACCATCTACCCAGTTATTACTAGAACACAGTTTATTACAAAAAAAATACTGCTGCTGGAACAAGTCAAGTGATTTCAGAATAATCTCTTTAGAAATCCAAGACAGTAGTAGAAACAGAGCAGCTTTTGGCACAATAAAATCCACTAGTTCAGCATTTCCATGGAGGTTAGAAGAAAACTGCAGAAATCCTCTAAATACTGTGTCTCTGACCAAGCATTCTACAGGCTGGACACTATTCTACTGCTTCCTCTTTCTAATAATTACTAACAAAAGTACTAGCACTCATGACTGCTTTCTAAAATGGTTAGATTTGGACAAAAAATCCTGTTCTCTAAAATAAGCGGCTAACCAATCTCGTGAAGATTTTCACTGACTTTTTCTGGGTATCACCTAACATGATCTTCAGTGCATTTTAAAACAAAAAGCCCTTGATTTCAAATTCAAATACATACCTCTTCTCTGTCTTCCAAAGCAAATACTACCATCACAACCAACTCTACACAGTCCCATTTGCACAATACTTTGCATTTCTCTTTTCAAGGAAAAGAGTGGGTTTTTCAGCACTAATCAACAGAACACTTATTCCAATGACTATCAACACTTGCAAATCTCAGAGCAGAAACTTTTGCATTAAATTCTCAGTTTAAGCTCTTTGTAAATCATTCACATTAACAAACTGTGGTTTGTCTTCTTCCTCAGTGACACATATAGGTGAAAAGTCAAACAACCACCAGAGGAAGATTTGGATTGAGTGTTAAATTTTCGTATTATTAATTGATTGGAATATAAAATATTCTGATATTCCAACTATATTCCCAACTATGAAATTCCACTGATTATTTTGATATATAACTATCAATAACATTTCATTAATCAAGATTCAAGAAAATTTCCTTAAGTGACATGCTGATATTGCTACATATTTTGTGGTTCTTTGTATTTAATACTTTGTCATTTAGGACGGCCAGAAAGCTAGTCAACTCTAAACTTTACAGAAGCGGCAGCAGAATTTGCAAAGTCACTAAATAGATATTTCTGCAACATCCACATTATCTGCCTAAAAGAACAAAGTGGTGTGACAGGGTTGTTTAGCAGCCACTGACTGAAATGACCACTTCACAACTCCCTTTAAATCCCATTTTTACAAAAAATCTGAATAGAATTCCTAAATTCTTCATGGGAATGAGCTCTTCATGGATAATGAAATATTCTGCCAGTGCTTGATGAGTAGACTGGAACACTGTATAATAAATGATTTTTCTTTGTATCTAATCAGGAGTAGGACTGATTTGTTAGTGAAAACAACAGTAAAGATCTGACAAAAAATGTTAGTATCACAGGATTAAAGTCAGAATGCAATGTTCACAGTTATGCTAAAGATAGTAGCTATGTGTTTGCTTTAAATTACTCTTCAGTCATCTGAACCAATTAATATTTTGGTTATGGTTTAAAGAAAAAAAAAAGTTGTAACGAAGCATTATCATTTACTTTGAAATCTTCTTACTTTGGTCCAGTGGTGGTGAACATCCATGGTCCCCAGCATTATGTGGCCTGCTGCACTCATACCTGAACGGTCTGTAAATACCACTGTGCGTCCTAAAGATTGAACAAAGCGCTCTTCTAATTTGTGTTATTGCAATTATTCCCACAATTATTTAAGGCTTAACTATGCTACTGACATGTCACAAGCAACACATTTCTGCAACACACACACATGCAAGCAGGTGCCTTTGTTATTATCAAAATTTGAAAGACTGATTTTTGAAAACTCTAGTTCAAGAACTTTTTTTCCATACAAACCTTACCTAGCATTTGCCTTCTCCCTGTTTAAACGATAGATTTTTAGTTAAATGGACTTTTTCTTACAAAAACTACTTTTAAAATAAGAGAAAGTCTCAGTAGACAGCATATTCAAAGAATCTGTACAAATCATGTATACGGTAGGAATATATGCTGCATGCCTAAAGTACATATAAGGTAAAGATTAGTCAAAGAACTATTAGCACAGCCATTCAACACTACTTCCACAGAAATCTCTGCAACATGCAAGCTGTAAGAAACACTTTCACATTAGGTTCTTGTTCTTTTTCTCTTAAAAGAAAGAATACAGGCAACATAAAAGGATAATACTATGTTTACTTTTAGGGGGACAAATCAGTTTTGAGTCTAAGTGAAGCACAAAGATCCTCAAGAATTCTTCAGGGTAAAAGCATAGGCAACTATTTACCAAAATAAGCTTCCACAAAGGTCTTCAGTGTGATGTATTAATCTACAAGACAAGGCTTAAATACAAGCTCTTGCTCTCAGACATCAGTTTTCCAAAATCCTTAAGAGCAAGCAACACTGACTCTAAGGCATCTGGTCCATCCTTGTACCCCAAGGCAAGATCAACTGTACCTGTATAATTACTGACAAGTATCTGTCCAGTATATTATTAAAGATATTCAAAGATGGAGTCTACAACAGGTTCACAAGACAGACTTCTCTAACACTTTAAATCCTTAGCATGCTTAGGTAAAGAAACTAACTAGAAACCTGATACAACTTAAAACTACTACTTACTGTCCTACCCGGTCTGTCTTTTGACAAAGGATTAGGTGAACCCTCAAATGAAAGCCACTAAAAACTGAGCATCTGCAGACAGGCATAAAATGTGGGAGTTGCAATTAGAGGAAACAGCTACTGCTACAGGTCAAACCACTGTATGAGAAGAACAGTAGGTCAGGTTTACAGAGTATTTTAGTTTTTCCTGAGAAAATACAGACTATAATATAGGTATTTTATGGAACATGCATGGTAAGAGAAGACAATACAATTTTAAAGGTATTCTAGTAAGTCCTCCTTATATTGACTCTTTGGAGAGCTACTCACATTTCTATCTTTCATCTACCATGGGTAACAATCTATTGCTACCTCTACCTTTCAGAGGTTCAGGCTGGATTTTTTACTTTCATTATTAGTACTAAGTCTAGTGCCCTCAACTCATTCAGTTTGCATTTATTACAAAGTAAAATAGAAGCTGAGTGTAGCAGATAGGAATGGTCACTTAAAAAACAACCCAGTAGCTTAAATGCAGGTTCTTGCAAGCCTGACAGGTTTGTTTTTGCAGTTCTCAAAAGCAGTTGTGAAAAGAACTAAAGCTCCCTTGTCACAGAAGACTCACGCTCATCTTTGTATCAATACTATATTAGGATCTGTGAAACAAGCAACAGAAATACCTTTAACATTCTTTAATACTTCAGGTCTCTGTTGGACTAAGCGACCTAGACTGTGTAGTTGGCTACAGCGGTGAGCAACACCCCAGCTTCTTTGCCACCTAAATAAAAATATAATTGAGAGTATTTCATTGTCAACATTATTTAAAAAATAAACAAAATCACAGAAGTTGAGATGCAGCCAAAAGCCTTATAACACAAACAAATCAAAATAGCACTCCAAGAGTAATAAAAGGCCTACTGAAAAGCTGTCCATTGTCATATGCTATTTGAACAGATAAAATGCCTAAGTATTTCAGTTTTTCTTAAAGTGAGTGCCAAAAAACCCCCAAAGAATAAAACCAGACATAGGAAAAACAAATCTAAAACCTGGTAGACAGAGCAGAACTTGCAAATCTCTCTCCCAATGAGAAGGGGGTAAGGAAATGGCAACCAGTATTTGGTTCAGTCATGTTACATGCAGTGTCTGTTTGTACACTGTAATGTTTTTCTAGAGGAGCAAATGCTGTATATAAGGACTTTGTTCTTTTTTTCCTTTGAGTTCCTAGACCAAAACACTACTAGGATTCCAGTGGTAAGTTGTTTTTATTGTTTTGTTGTTTTTTTTTTCTTATTTTACAGTGGAATAATTTTTGTTAAGCCATATGGGAGGCAGGTGTTACATTGGTGACTTTAATACATAATGTTTTGACATCTCATCCATCACAGATCAAACTCGTAACTAAATTTCAAAAAGCATTTAAATTGCAAGGTTGTCCCAGTGTATTGAAAAATTACATCCTTTTACAAACTTCCAGCCAATATAAAACTGTCTCAAAGTGGGAAATTATCGTTCCCTTATTGTACTGGGTCTGTCTGGGATGGAGTGAATTTTCTTCATAGCATCCCTGTGTTTTGTATTTTTTACTAGAACAGTGTTGATAACACACTATTGTTTTAGCTATTGTGCAGTGCTGGCAGCGTCCAGATTTTTGCTTTTACTTCCCACTCTGCCCCCCTCCATCAGTGAGTAGGCTGGGGTGGGCAAGAAGCTGGGAGAGGATGAATCCAGGGCAGGTGATTCCAGCTGAACGAAGGGATATTCCAGACCACATGACACCACGCTCAGCAAGCGGACCCTCGTGGTTATGGCGTTTGTCTTCTGAAGCAAGCATCAGACATGCTCTGCTCTGCTTTCCAGAAGGGGCTAAATACCTGCCTGCCAATGGGGAGTAGTGAATGAACTACTCCTTTTGCTTTGCTTGCACACACAACTTTGCTTCACTTCACCTATTAAATTTGTACTTTGATCCATAAGCTTGCTTTCTTTTGCTCTTCCTATTTGCTTCCTCCCATCCCGCATGGGGTGTATGAGTGCGAGGCTGTGTGGGTGCTGGCGGTTCTGGCTGGGGTCAACCCACATCATTTTGTTTAGGGAAACCTAACTGGCAAAAAATCACTCTTTGGGAAGCATAGGATGGCACTATGCCACAGCACTTATGAGGCAATTCAACCTATTATAATGCAACTCATTCGAAAAAATATTTACTGTTACCTAACAGTACCACTTTGCTTTCAGTAGCACCAGACAGGAATGTAAAAAGGTGGCTTATAGATCCTACCTTCTCTTCAGTTGTCCTAAACTTATCTATGGAATGAAGCCAACGACCCCATTATTTTTTCAAACCTCTGTGAATGCTAGCATTAGACTGAAGGATCACAAGTAGTAGTTTCTTATTAAGATGCTTGTCAGATTTCTGACATTCACAATCCTTTCTGCATTAAGACAATATCATTCTTCGAAGGTTAATAACTCTTCATGGAACACAATAGTTTTAGTGTATTTTAAAAGCACAAACTATAAGAAAACTAAATATAAGCCATGAATAAGACCAGACCTATATATATAATACTGAAGACTGTTTCAGAAATTTAAAAACACTCACCGCAGCACAGTTGCAGAGAATTAGAAATTGTATTCAAAAAAACTGGCTTCATCTTAAATGAAGCCAGGGTCTTTTACAGGGTGAAAGGAACAAAAGTACAATTTCTGAAGCTCCAGCTCTCTCTTTCCTGGTTAAAAGAAGAACTTAACAGACTAGTCCTTGAAACAATCCCCCAGAGTGTATTCTTTCATTGCTGAATACCCTGCCTTTTCCCATCCTGAATATCCCACTTAAGAACATCCTCATCTGAAGGCACAAAAGTTAAAAAAGGATAAGTTATTTTCCAGAAAAATATTCTGAAGAATCAGGATCACTAACTGTACTCAGGCCTTTCAAGCAAACAAATACCCTCCTCCTCTGGAGTGGGGGAAACAAGACATTAATTAGAAAGAACATTTTTATTAAGTCTTCATAGGATGTCAATACATATCATGTGGAAAGTTGCATTTCACTGACAATCTAGTTACCTTTGTAGATATTCACTTGAATTCAGGAAGAGCAATTTTATCCAGCAAAACACCCCAATTAATGCACACACAGAGGTCCTATTTCAAGCACTTACACGTTTGCCTCAACTGGAGCCTACGTTATTAGTTACAAATACTAGGTCTTTTTGAACAGATTGTAACAGGAGACTTTGGTCCCAATCAGATTCTCCTAGAAAAATATTATTCAGTGCAATAACACTTTTACACATATAAAATATAGCTGTTTTGCTGGAATAAGCCTTTAAATCTCACGGTGTAGTATTACACAACACTTTCTCACTTTGACTGTCTTAGTGCAAGTCCAACTGATCTAATTTATTACCTGATATCTGAGAGCTGGAGTTGATGAGAGAGTTCAAATTTTAAACGTTCTAGTTCTTTTCTAAGTGGCAAACTCTTTTTCAGCTTTTTTACTGCACTTGCTTCATTATCATCTAGCCAGGATCTGAAAGAAGAGAAGAAAAAAACCCCCAACAGTGGAGGCATTCTGTATTATCTTTCATGCAAACTGCACAACTCATTGAATTCTTACTGTTAACATTAACGTTTTATTTCAAGTTACCGGGTAAAGGGATATTTTAGAAGTAGAGGACAGAAACTGAAATTGCTAAATGATTCACTTTAAGATATCTACAAAGGAAAACCTGGCACTTAATGTCTTTGGGGGGGACTAGGGAATCAAACCGAACCAAAAGACGCTGACAAGTGTTATAACCGTAAGACTCAGAGGTGTGAAAGGCGTAGAGCAGCAGATTAGTGGGATTTAGGGGGGAGCAGCTTCAGAAGTTAGTGCTTTAGTTCCCACACACCTGTCTTTAAAAAAAAAAAACCCAAAGTGATCATAGTAGACTATCAAACAAGGGAGGTGGTACTAGAGGACTAAATTAGGTAACTCTTACAGAGCTGGGATGAACACAGATTACGGAGGTCAAAGTTTTACAGTTCTTTTGTCAATAATCACAACCAGGCAAACTTGACTCATGGAGTACATCTAAAACTTTCAATAAACAGATCATTATATTTCTAGGAAAAAATCTACTCTTTAAGAGATTTAGCCTTTGTTCATAGCATACTTATTTTCATATTCTTATTTTTACAAATGAATACTTCTGTTCTCATACTGTATTCTAAGCAAAGAAATTCAAACTCGGAAGCAAAAAGAGAGGCCCAGTGCCAAATGGCTAGGTATTAAAACCAGACTGTTAATATGTAACTGTTCATGGCATTTCTTGTAAATGTGTAAAAATACATAAAAATATTCTCCAGTGTGTTAATTCCCAGTTAAGTGTTTTACAGTAGCATATATTATAGCAGTAGTTTTATTTGCAAGGTGCTAGGCAGGATGAGGGGTATTCTTTGCTCTGAAGATATTACTAACCACAGTTCTGCATTTATTTCAAATGTCACCTCTCATTGTTACAAGCTTTTCAAGGCAGTATTGTTCATCCTTCCCCAAAATGAGCACATGCAGATTTTATAAGCAACCAACTTCTAATACACAACATGCTGCATTTAATGCAAATTCAGTATTTGTAATTGCCTCAATTTAAATATTAAGGTTGATATGCTCAACAGCAAACAGAAGCACAACAATAAGATATCTGGCAAAATTAAAACTTTTTAACATTAGTTTTCATGTATTATCTCCCACTCCACCCCCAACAGAATGTCATAATGAAATACTAACAATAAAGTTAATAGCTGTGTAGTTTTGTGTTACAGAAGTCCTGCAAGAGGCAAAGAGCTATTTGGAGCAAGTGGAACCTCTGCCTCCTTCTGAATGGCCACAAATATTCCACACAGCTGAAAAACTAGATCAATCAAAACTAGATTGACCAAATATGAACGCTGGGCAGAGAGATAAGAATGCCTCAGCTTAGCTGGCACTACATTTATCCCAGAAGCTCATCTGAACTCTCTTTAATTATAAAAAGAGTGACAGAATTACATGTTGGACAATAAAGTTTTGTATTGTTTAGATTGCCTTTTAAAAACAACAGCATTAGAATATGACCAATTTAGGTTACAAAAATAAGTTAAATAAAAGCCTTACATACATTAAAGTTGTTTCCACTCTCTGGGCTTGTTCTAGTTCCTCCTCAGGATCCTTGAATCCAGTAAATGAATAATATGTCTTATCCCATTTGATAGGTCTGTTCACTGTGCTTTTTGCTTCCTTGTGGGGCTGAGAGTTCACATTCAAACTCTGAATATGCTCCGTAGATAAACTGCAGGAGTTGAGAATATCTAATACTGTGCTCAGGAGATCCCTAGTATGTAATGTAAAACTGACTGCTCGAAACCCTATAAAATACAAGTCCCACAAAATCAGTATTATTTAACTAGTTATTTAAAATGCATTCACATTTCTCTCATCTTACAAAAACCCAAACTAGGCATACGTAGTTGGAAATTATTATGATATTGTTATTCCAATACTCACTACAAAATTCACATATAGTTTAAACTTTAAAACTGTACATGTTCAAAAATATAAATAGAGCTGTTTTAATTACCCAAATCATTGGACAAAACACAAACCTAGCTACAGATCCAGCATAACCCCAGAAAATATGCTTTCACTTTAGCAGTGGGTCGCAGTTTTGTCCAACAACTCTACACAATCCACATTATTACTGATCATCACTTTGGATATAATTCACTGTAGAAACACAGTACTACAATAGCTTGTCACAGGCTATGAACAGAAGCTTCAGAACAAAATGTGACACTTGCACACTGGGTAAAACTATGTCCCATCACTTAGCTATCGGGCCTAACTGCCCCATTAGAAAGCAAGCAAGTATTAGACTCAAGAGCAGAAAACAGCTACCAGTTCAACTGTTATTTTAGGTAGATTGGACATAACACTACTATTTTCTTGAAAAACAGTATGATTTTGTTTTTTAGTACTAGGGTTCCTCACAATTTGCTCAAGTGTTTTGAGCAGCAGCGTAAAGAATATAGAACTTATCTGTTAGATAAGGCACAGTAGTACATCACAAATACGTAGAATAAAGTTAATCATAACCAATATTCTCAACTCGGCAATATTTTCTGTAGTCTCACAGCTAAGAGACAATGTGGTAAAGTGAAGCTTCAGATATTATACAACTTCTGCTTACAGAGTAAATTCCTACTGATCATACAAGCATTATAGGACATTGGTTACTACACGTTATCAGCAATACCCAACTGTTGTTCCAGTTAAATGTGACAACAGTATTAAAAGCAGAAAAATTATCCTCTACATCAAGCTGTTTTTTACTTCCTCATACTGAAACCTGACCTCAACTTTGTTATTTCTCATTCTTTCAATGCTTTTTATAGCTTAAGATGTTTAATTACTTGGGATGGTCCTGGCTCTCTGATCTAATAAGCATTTTCATTGTTTAACAGGATTTTATTCAGTTGAAAAGTCGTTATGACTGCAGAAGGCTAAGTAATGATCTGAAAGAATTTAAAACCAGGAAAATACATTCTGCACAATATAAAAGCACCTGAAGCACTGAAGGATTCTTGAACACTGGAAGAATTTGGTTCTCTTTCTCTTACATAAAAAGTAAGCTGTGTTGGCTTAAAAGACCGAAACCCTGGTTTCTGTAGATTTTCCAAGTAGCCATTTAACCTCTTCAGAGAGTTTTCATTTACTTCCTGTTAAACAAACAAACATTACAGGTGATGAATTTGGCCATTTTTCATCTAAACCTTTTTTATCTCACATTCAGAATTAGTTTTTACAAATTGCCAGCTGTTCTTAACAATTGTGATATAATTCACATTCTCAGCATAAATGAATAATTATCTTGCAGTAACAAACTGCATGATATACATACTTATGCGTTCTTGTACATTCCAAAAAACCACAACTTCTAAGGCTTTCAAGCTTAAAGAAATCAATTGATTCAAATACAACACACAGCACTTCAAAGTGATAAAGCAAATAATACGTATTATAAATCAGCCTGGAAGGATTCAGTTATTTTCTTTGTGACAATTAAACAGAAAATGAGACTAATAAATAATGGATGTTTAAGGGACCTATCCTTGTTAAAAATAAACAAAGTGCATCTTTTTATTCTCTGGTAAGAACCATATTCAATTCTAATACTACTTTTTTTTTTTCCTCTAATAGCAGGAAAACTAGAAAATTTCCATCGTTGATACATGACACATTAACAAAGAAAGCATACTAAAAGATTTTTACCCTCTCTTTGGGATGCTGTCCAAAGAAATCTGGATGCACAGCAAAATAGAAAGGTCTGAGAGCATTGATGGCATCAGCTCCTGACAAAGCTCTTGACTGAAGAACACACTGTAGGAACACCTTCTCCACAGATAACCTGTTAAAGTAATAAAATATTTATGTAGGAAGCAATCAATCAAGTGACAAACCGATAAATTACATTAGAATGTGACAGAATGGAGTAAACATTCATAGTTGAAAGTACAATCAATTAAAACTGGTATTATAAGTTTGAGTTCTGGATTTTTCCCCTTGGGACTCACAAAACTATTTATACAGAGCAAATCAACAGGTTTGAGAGATGGTGGATGCTAATGGTTGATTAAAGACATGTAAATATGTACAATAACTTTTCCCTCTACTTTCTCAAAGCAGGCTCAAAAATTCCCCACTCAAGTAGTTCAAATGATGAAGACCAGCTTTAGTGGTTTTTTTTGTAGCTGTTGCTGAAGTTGCTCTTAAAAGCCAACCTTTACATAGTTTCGAAACTCCAAGTTAAAAAGCCAAACCCAGTATTTTTCAAGCAGTGCCAAGGAATATTAAATTTTACCCAGGAATAAAATAATCACAATTCAATCAAAATAGGTTTTGCATTAGGTTATGATGTCCACATACTTGTGTCCATTAAAAAAAAAAAATATCTACTTTTCCAAAGATACTCTTTCGTAGAAGACATCAGGTAAAAACAATACTTTCTGCCCTTCAATCTTCACTGAAATAGGACTACAAGAAATTGAAGTGGTAAGAAGATTGTTTCACCTAAGATCAGAAGGAAAAGCTGAAGTTCTAGGAAGTTCAGAAAGTACAAAAGATGAAACACCTCAAATTATGCATAAATTAATAGTTCTCCAATGAGCACACCTGTATAACAGAAGACGGAAATGAAACAAAAAACCAAAGTTCTGAATTAAAGACCGCCAAAATTTCCTGCCATAGCTCAAAGCTGATATTCAGGTTAGCAAACTAATTACCAAGACACAGTATGTATAAAAGCAGCAAGAAAATGTGAACTGGTAAGTATTTAGTAATAGATTTCTCCTGCAGCTGATTTTACAGGCTAAGAAATTCAACAGGCCAACCATTTTCTCTGTGATTAGTGTTCATTTTAGTTTGCAACTCAGAAGGGTAGGGATTCTGCTCTGTTAAGCAATACAATGCTGTTTCACTCCTCACAGTATCATTCAAATTGCAAACCCCAAATAGGAAAGCCCCAAATTGGAGGCAAAGCTGCTTCCAATTCACATAAAACTAGTAACTTTATTGACAAGAGTAAGCAAGACTATTTTACAAAGAACTATTTGTTCAGCATATTCGACCACATAATTGTCCTGGACACGGAAACATGTGAAATTATTTCCCTACTGCTTTCATTAACTATAAAAAAAGGTCCCAAAAACCAAAAACCAACCCCCCAAATCTGTGCTCAGACAATAAGCAGTATTTTTCATTTTGACAAATGGTAAATGACAACAGCTGAGTTGTCAGGCAGATGCAATGACCCTTACTTTACCTTTTTTCTGTCAACCTTTCCAGCTCTTCAATTAGAAACATGAAAGCAGTTAAAGCCAATGTTTTCTGCCTAAGAGGTGGGCAAATATTTAATTAATAGGTCTTAAAAGTCAGCTTGCTGAAAACAGGGTAAGTTTTCATAGAAAAGTGGGATGGAAAACCTGTAACGTAAGATGACTGATGAAATTTCAAACCGTTATGACTAAAACCAATTTTCGTGTGTATAGATTAAGTGGAAGATTAAGAAAAGATAAAACGTATTACTGTCAAACACTTCTACCTCCTTGCTGGCTGCATCTCAGAAAAAAAGAGTCTAAGACTAGCCCATGATTCTATTCAAAACAGCAGGAGATGGTGAAGTACCACAGCAATACCAGAGCAAAACTTCTCAATGACAAGAAAATGCCAGAGGTGCTCAGTGGTGCAGGAAAATCCCCTCTACCTGACCTGGCAAGAAAGGAAGCAAAGCACACTGGATGAGATCTGGAAATGCCAAAATAATTGTCTTGCTAAAAAAAAAAAAAAAAAAAGCAGATTTTTTTTTTTTGTAGCAAGTGGACATAAAGAGGTAAAAAGGAAAAAAATTATTTCCAACAAAGAAAAAAAAAGGTAAATAACCAGCTACCTGACAGCAGTTTTGACTAACAGCCATACAAGAAACCCACATCCTCCTAGGAGGAAGTAAGGAGCACAGTTCTCTCTTCACCTTACTCGTACCATTTCCCACATCCACTCTTGAGCTACATAGCATACTGTTTCCAGTAGTTAAGTAAAAAGAGCTCCAGCATACCTGGAAACTATTAATCATACTTCCAAGTTTATTAATCATAAACTTCCATCTGGTATTCTATAAGAAAAATGGCCAAGTATGGTTAACTTCAGTTCCCTTGTTTTGTATCCAAACAACACTGTCATGCTAGTAGGAAGGTTCAGGATTCCAGCCAAAAGTCTATTTTGAACTTGCTTAAAAGAGAAACGCTCAAAGGCCAAAATTAGTCTGCATGACAGAAGGAAGAATTCATTCACTGAAGGTGAAAGACAGAACTCTGAGGCATCCTTCAAGTGAAGTGACAAAATAAGTGAATTAAAATGAATTTAGAGAGAGAAAATGCAAGAAAGATGCTTATGGCTTCACTCACAAGGAGCAAGAATTGTCCTAAGAGCTTCATTCAGATTTGAAGAGCAGAGAAAGGCTTTGTGTTAAAATCAAGGTCATAACCACTTTGAGAATAGCCGACTTCACTTCTTGAAAGACATGAAACACAATCTCCACTAGAACACATTATGCAATCATACTCTAGGACTGATTTAATTTATTGATTAAATAATTCCCTTCGGCTTTCTTTTTACTTTTTCTTCACATCTCTCTGAAGTTTAACTTTTTGGCTTACAGCTTTGGCACTGAAAAGCTTTGTTAAATTAAGCTCATTATTACACATATATTCACTCATTTTGAAGCACTGAGCTTTAATAACTCAATAATGCAAATGCAGTAATATATTGGATATCATATTCAGACTTAGACAGTAAATTTCTCATAATTAAGCTATTTTAAGCCCCTTGTTTTGTTGAGAGCCTTTTTAATGTCTGACTCAAGGACAGGCAGGCATATGGCTTTTAGGGACTTTCAACTGTAGATGCTCTGTTGAAAGCTTCAAGCTGTAAAGATGAGAAAGCCAAAGAAATAAGCATTAAACAAAAATACCAAACCACTTCTACACACATGCGAGTCATAAGCAAACACTTAAACGTATGCTAAAGGTAAATTAGGTCAGCCACATGCCTTACCTTCTCACGGCTCTCAAGCAGCAAAACATTTCAGCAGTACAATGGTCAAGCCAACTTTCATCCATCCACTAACTCACTTAAAAGAAGAAAAAAAAAATCCTGTTTAGTAATGGACATGAGTATTTCTCCATGTTACTCAATGATTCTCTAAATCCTAGGTGATAACTTTTAAAGCCATGATAGTAACATAAGATTGAGAAATCACACATAAAGCCTAAAGCTTTGCATAAGAATGTTTTTTGTTTCCTCCAGTAACAGCAAGTCTTACGAATATTAAGAGTTGTTACTGTGTTTTGATTTGAAGATGAATATCAAAAGATGTTCCAGTTAGGATATAAACCTAAAAATTTATTTATTGAAAATGTTTCCCACTCTTCCTGATGTTCATTTTTTGTCTTGAAGTATAGAAACAAAATAATAGAAGCTTTCTTTAAGCACTAATGCATACCAGCTCATGGAATTCTATGTAAATTTTTACTCTGCTAAGTCCAAAACTTTCAAACAAATGATAATACTTAAAAATTTCTATGTCAACTCTTTTATGAGGGCACAATATATAACCCAAGGGAAAAACAGTGTCATACAACAATGCCTGGAAATCTGTTATCAAAAGTCTTCTGTCATTCATAAAAAGGAACAATTTTTACCAGTAACTCTGCACTATGCAACCGTAAGAGTTTTCCAACAGGAGGCAAACCACTTAGCATGTCAGAGTGCAAACATATACCTAAATTATAATTATTATGAGAGAAGCTCCGTATTGGCAATGTTTTTTCTTACGTTTTCATACATTTTTTTAAAAAAATACACTTTTCTTTGCACTTTTCAGAATAACATGTTCCTACTAAATATGCCATTTTTAAAGCACCTGAGATGAACAGTCATCAGAGAAATATCATCCTTGTTCCAATACAGCATGACAGTTCCTATGACTACTTTGCAAAATACCTGAAGTTTTAGAAGTGCATCTTGCTAATACAGATATACTTTACTGAAAACATAGATTCTTTACCAAATATTTCACTAGAGGCAAACAGGGTGAGAAAAACATATGCTGAGCTAAAATATCCCTAAAATACTTTATAATTTTTGTCTTCTTATTTTCAACCAGGTGAGCAGTAATATCATTTTTAGTGTCCCTAAGAACGGTCCTAATCATAAACTAACTGAAATACATTAACAAACTCTCTGGTAGTAAAACAGTTTTCACTCTCTGTAATTTTAGCTTCAGGGATTTGGACAGAGGATGGAAAAAACCAAGTCTCACTAATCTGTGCTGACACTTTATATAACCAAACAAAAGCATCATTGTTTCTTATTTTAAATGCTCTATTAACTGCTTAGAAGTAGTTACATTGCTTAGTTAAAAAATAAAATCTCCTGGTTTGAGTAAATTTCACCTGCACCCACCTCAAAGATACGTTTGCTAACACAAAACAAAACATTAATTATGTTGCAGTCATTTTGCAAGTGTCTTTGGAAACATGACACTCACGCCACCACCTCACTGCCCAAACCGAGATTATCTCTTTCAGGTGTTTGTTTCCCTGCGCTTGACCCTTAAGGTAGTATGAAGAAAACGGTATGAAAATAAACAAGACGACAGTGTTCAGAAAATAAGCTCGGGTGCAATCGATTCACTCGCTGCCTGAGAGAAAAGCTATGTAGCCACCCAACCGCTAACAGTTTTAACCATTTAAAACAGGCCCCTGACAGAATCCACTTCAAGGTAAGGGAGGGTCTTTCTCGGGGCCGGCTAACGGCCCAGCTGTTAGCGAGGCGCGTTTTGAATTCACTGTTTTGACAAATGTTAGGATTCAGCACAAGGATAACTTATACAAACGGAAAGAGCCAAAGGTAAGTAGCCTCGGGCCTTTCATGCTGTGCCAAACGCCTCACCCACCGCGGGTCC